AGTGCAAGGCTGCAGTTGCCTGGGAGGCTGGAAAGCCTCTCTCCATAGAGGAGATAGAGGTGGCACCCCCAAAGGCTCATGAAGTTCGAATTAAGGTAATGATAACATTTAAGGCACTGGAGGAGAAATAATCTTAACAATTAGGTCTTTGGATGGGTGAGGATATCTGAGGTCTGCAGAGGACAAGTCCCAAAGGACAGCGTCAAGGAGAAGGTCTTGAAAACCTTCCACCCGTAGAATCACAACATCCTCCTCTTTTCCCGCTCACCTTTGCAGTATTCCTCTCTATCTTTTCAACTTTGATGTTGGGCTGAGCAGCCAAACCCATGGATCAGTGGTTTACTGCAGTTTATCTTCTGTAGCTTGAGTTTAAGTTGGCTGTGTGGGAAATTCCTCATTCTGCTGATCTGAAAACTTTATGTGTTAGGTAATGAGTTAGAAACAAAAGAAGAAATGGTCTTCAGTTTTGTTAGATGAGACTTCAGGTAAGATGTGGGAAGACTGACTAGAACAATAAGCAAGTGAAGTCTGCCTGCTTAAAGAGCTTTAAGATATACTAACCCTGGTGGACGAGGCCAGGGTTCAGGGGAGTCGTCATTGTACTGCTTATTAACCTCCACTGTGAAATGAAGTTACCCTGGGGAGAGCCAAGGCAGCCAGCTGGAGATAGCTTTCCAGCTTTGATATTTACAAAACTTCATGGTTTTAGCATTCTATGTTCTACTTGGTTTGATAGAAAATTAATGCTTAAAGGTAGTAACCGTTAAATAGAACTGAACTAACGTTCTAGGAAAATGTTATGTTCTAGGAAGAGTCATGGCTCTTTTTGCTGTGACTTAGAGTGTTCTTCCCTTCAGCCCACCTACAGCACGCATACTGGCTCATGCTTCCAAGGGTCGTGTTATCAGGTAGAACAGCCTATGACCAATTACCTTTTTGAGGTCCTTTACAGCACACCCAGGAACCTGAAATCTTAAATAACAGTTTGTTTTTCTTCAAGTTCTAAAATTAATCTGATTGTGGTTTTGCCACTGAAGAAGAAAATGTTTGTCCTGGATACACTAAGGTAAACTAGCTATATGAGCACACCGATTTCAACTATCTTCCCTGGGAAACTGCTGACAGATAGCAAGGAATGTTACATTGTAAGCAAATATTTGGGCTAGAAACAGAGAAGCATAAATACAAACACTCCCGAAATTTTGTCTTTCTGCCCTTCTGGTAGTTTGGAAAGGTAAAACACTTAAAAGCCAGAGAGATGGTAATAAAGGGCTTATTTAAATAGAGTTTATATGCAGTTCCTAAAAAGGGGTTAGGTTCCACTAAAAGCTCTGACTTTTGGCCCAGACTCAAGCAAACAGGCATATTTCAGAATGAGTCGATATTTTTTTTTTTAAATCACAGATCACAGTTCCCAACATTCAGGAGGAAGCCAACAGTGAAATGGGCTCCACCTGTTTTGCACACAAGTATTGCTCCTCTCCACATCTGAATGCACAGCGCCTGTAAGGTGACTTCTTTACCCCGTCTTGCTAACATGCACTAAAAGTAGGCTGCCAGTTCTCATCATTAAGATGCTACGGATTGTAAGCACAGGCTAGTTTTAGAGAGGTTAAAAAAATATATATATATCCTCTAATCAATAATATATGGCGTTAAAGTAAAATGCCTTTCCTTTGACCTGTAATTCACTCTAAATTGCATTAACACACTTAAATGCTCATTGTTTTAATATCCTGATAGATCATTGCCACTGCAGTTTGTCACACTGATGCCTATACGCTGAGTGGAGCTGATCCTGAGGGATGTTTCCCAGTGATTTTGGGACATGAAGGT